CATAATAGAGAAGAGTATGACACGGTTTTAACAGCGTTTTGCATAGTTTTCAACTTGTAAATATTCTATCAATATGTGAATAAATATATTCAAACTTTACCTTGTTTTCGTCTATAATTCCCGCCTTAATCATATGACACCACCAATTTACCTGAAATCGTATGTGTTCTTCAAAAAAGTTATTTGAATACAACACGGTTTCGTACAGTTTTCACGCATGGATGCATGTCCCAGACGCACCCGGCAGTTAGATGCGATATTGTATGACTACTAGGCACTTAGGTTATGACTACTAGACTAGGTTATGACTACTAGGCACTTAAAAAAAAACAACAACCCTACCCTAACCGCTAACCTAAACCTAAACCCTAACCCTAACCTAACCATAACCCTAACTTTTTTTTATTAAAAAAAATTAAATTAAATTAAAGTGCTCCTAGTAGTCATAAATATCGCATCTAACTGCGAGTGCGTCCCAGACGAAACTTTTTATGGGATTAGTGTTCTTATTGTCTATGACGGAACTTTGGGGGCCGTATGGGATCTTAGGCAGCGTGCAGCGTGTTTCCAGCGTGCTAAAAATAAATGTGCTCACGGCCAGCTAGCTTAGCAGCTGATTCTCTTACGCCCCAGCGTACCGTCATAGACATAAACACTAAATCCCATAAACCAAAGTTTCGTCTGGACATGCATCCATGCGTGAAAACTGTACGAAACCGTGTCGTATTCAAATAACTTTTTTGAAGAACACATACGAATTTCAGGTAAATTGGTGGTGTCATATGATTAAGGCAGAATCGATAGACGAAAACAAGGTAAAGTTTGAATATATTTATTCACATATTGATAGAATATTTACAGTTGAAAACTATGCAAAACGCTGTTAAAACCGTGTCATACTCTTCTCTATTATGCACTCTTGATACTATATATATCAGAAGTAAGTAATAGGGAATCTACTATCTACTCCCTATTATCTACTTCTGATATATATATATATATATATATATATGTGTGTGTGTGTGTGTGTGTGTGTGTGTGTGTGTGTGTGTGTGTGTGTGTGTGTGTGTGCGTGCGTGCGTGTGCGTGCGTGCGTACGTGCGTGCGTGCGTGCGTGTGTGTGCGCGTGTGCGGGCGTACGCGCGTGCACGCGTGTTAGTGAGTGTGTGTATGTACGAAAGCAAGAAGACTCATGGCAGTATCGCAGTTCGCATTTCGCCATTTCGCATGAGTCATCTGGGCTTTCGTAGTACAGTGTGTCTGATTTCACGTGTTCTTAAAGGTTTTTCCATTAAGGAAAAAATCGGCTTGTCCAGCGAAAGTGGTCATGATACGAGCATGTGAACTGTTATATTTTTAGTCGAACTTTGAAATCTGTATATATATATAATATAATATATATATATATATATATAATTATATATATTATAATATATATATATATATATATATATATATATAAATATATATCAAAGAGCCATTGACCCCGTGCGTTAATGGGCTCTTGATAATATATATATATATATATATATGTAACATCTGCTATTTGTTGTTACAACTTGTTATGTTCACTTATTAGTCACGTGGTTAGCGTGGTAAGCCAATCCCGACCCTGCATCTACCTGTGCAGGTGCCCGGCTCTTTTACTCGTGCTCAAGCTAGAATTAGATCAAAAGTAATTTGTAAATTGCGATTATTGTTTATTCCTGACATCATTAAGGGTATAAGCTGATAAATGACGACTTTGTTTAATGTACTTCCGATATCATGCATAAATCCCAGACGGTAGCCTAGATACAACGCGTATATACTCAAGGGTAGTATACTAAAGAAACTTATTATTAATTATAATAGCAAATCATAATATGCTAAACAGTAACCCCAATGCGAGAAAAAAAACTTGTCTAAAGCTTTTCTGATACGATCACCCATAAAACTGCGTCACAGATACAACACTCGTACTACGCGTACGCATTCTACACTATAGTGTCCACCTCTGTGATCATGCACACACCTGAGCTTCGTGCGTCTATCCGCAGGTCTACTGACCGTGACAGCTACCTCCAGCTTACCCCCCGCGCGCCACCACGGACAGATGCCAGCTAGCTACACCGAGCAGTGGATTAGGTGACATCACAGCTAGTGCATCGCTATCGTCGTCAACATGTCGGCGCCTCGATTCGTGAAGCGACCTGCGATACGGCAGGCGGACAAGGGCAAGACGCTGTTCTTCGAGTGTGAGGTGAACGCATCGCCTCAGCCGGAGATCGAGTGGTACCGCGGCGAGGATCGTCTTTCTGCGGGCGAGCGCATGCAGATGCTGTGCAGTCCGGCGACCGATGCGAATAACTACAGTGTGGCGTTGAAGATCGATGGCATCGATCAGGCCGACGGTGGAATCTACAGAGTGAAGGCGAAGAACGCCGCCGGAGAGGCGGCCGCTTCCCTCAATCTGAACTTCAGTAAGTTACGCGCACGCGCACGCACGCCCGCGCGCACGAGCGCACGCGGATAGACGAACGCGGGAACGATTCACACCCACGCTGACGACATACAGGCGGACGCGCACACACATGCACGCGCACGCACGCACGCACGCACACACGCACGCACGCGGACAGACGAATGCGAGAACGACTCACACCCACACTGACACACAGGCAGACGCGTACACACATGCACGCGTGCACGCACGCGAACGCACGCCCGCGCGCACGCACGCACGCGGACAGACGCACTCAGGAACCTTTCACACCCGTACCGATACACAGACGGACGCGCGCACACATGCACGCGCGCACGCACGCGGACAGACGTACGCAGAAACCCTTCACACCCGTACCGACACACAGGCGGACGTGCGCACACATGCACGCGCACATCGACGCACGCTCACTCCCCCACATACACGCACGCTCACAGAAGCGCACACGCACGCGCACACACACGCGCACACACATACGTACAGACATGTACCAGTATATAATTAAAAATAATAATTATTAATTATATTATAACGATTTCCCAAATTAAGGAGAGAACAACTACATGCGAAACTGCGAAACCGTTTAATAAGCAGACATCGTTGCGCCCTGTGTAATGAAGTTGCAATTGCAATTGATTAACTTTTTTTGGTAGGTAGTTACTTTACACCCGCTATTACGCATAGCAGATTAAGTTAAACCACCAGCACTGAAATTACGTGATTCACGATTTGCAGTGTTGACAGAAGGAGTTACAATGAACTTATAGTTTATTTTGCTATCTAATCCATATATGTCAGGAAATATTAGTTTCATACATTTCGATTTTCCTATTTTTTCTAGGCCAAGACGCAAACAAGTAAGTACATTTTGTGTTATTATATATACATATACATATTACAGTATCCTATATTGAGGAGTGGCGACTAGTTGCATGCACGTTTCTATCTTTGCTGAGTAATATATTACTCTTATTTCCCGCTCCTTGCTCTCTATCCCCAATATTTAGACAAAATAAAAAGAATATATATACACGCGCACATGAGGTTTCAATTGAAACTGCCAAGTGACCTAGAAGGCAAACAAAGCTAGACCTGTGCCTGTGCCTCTGTGTGTGTACAGTTAGTGCAGGAATTTGTTGGTTATTGACATATTACATATAAATCATACCAATTATCCAAGCGTGATATTTAGCGAGTATACGACGCACACAATATGCGAGAAAGGTAAATTAATAGTCCAGCTAATTCTAATCACAAAACATAAATATAGACATCTCCCGTTCTTTAACGGTTGCCTCTATATAAGGAATTTGATTGGGACATGCTTTTTATCTGAGGGATGTCCGACTTTGCTTATGTTCAATATTGATGCCTGCAATTTACAGTCGAGGGGCTGTTAAAAATTGAAATGCTGAAACACAATATGCGGCACTTACGCTGGGTCTCGTAAATTCTTCCAGACGAACCGAACCATAAATACAAAAATACAACTAGAACCACATGGACTTTACATGCGCTAGAGAGAGAGGCGAGCTAAAATAAACCCCGTGCCGCTCCACCCTCTGAATGCCGAGCTAGAACGCAGAAACTCAGATATCTCGAGTTCTTTGCACCTTAATGCTGATACAGTTTTGCTAATGTTGTTAATATTGTTAATCTTGTTCACTGCAATCCCACAGCAAAAAAACAGTACAACAACCGAACCTCATGGTAATGTGTATGAGGAATTACAGTCCGCGTAGAGGGGAAACGGGGGGGGGGGGTCCTTTTCCAATTTTCCGGTAAAAATCAGGACATTTCCCAGTTCCGAATCATATAGAATCGCAATTTCAGCTTTACCGCGCGCGCCTCGATTGACGTTTATTTCCGACCAACGAGCAAAAGTATCCGGTATTTTCCGGTTCTCACATAATTAAAATAGTCCAATACCGCGTCCCAAAAATAACCGTTCCCTTTTCCGCTTAGTTAACCTCATGATTGCTCCCTACTCGCAAAGCAGAAACAGGACCAAATCGAAGCGGCTGTTGTTGAATTCAAAATGTATTCTCGTCAAATTAACGTGCCGATTATCTACTGGGACTGGAAGGCAGTTTCCATAACTAGAACATCGTATATAGCATTTTAATTTGTTTATCGTAAGCGATGCCTGAGTTTGATCTGTTATTGCAATCATTCTATGTTATACGTGCGGTTACAATTTCGATCTGCATATGGCAAGAACTCATGCAGGTGTTAATATATTAAAGGGTTGGTAAGACTAATGTTTGTGAGTTCTGCTATAGCTGATTGGTCAGTAGCTGAGTTACTGAATGCGTGACTGAATGAATGCGTTAAGCAATTAGTACAATTTTTGATTCTGAAGTTTTAGTGTTCTGTATCCTCGGGCATGGGTCGTTGTTAGGCTCAAGAAGAATGTAGAATCATTCTAAATATAACGCGGATAGGCTTATATACTGACTATATTATAACTAATCATACAAATTTATATAAAATAATTGATAAATTCATTAATATTCTAGTCAGGGTAGCCATAGGGCAGTAATTATAGCTTTACACTACACTGATAATCTCACGCGAACTCTCACATTAGAAAGTGCTGCCACCTCGTGCACGAGCAAAGCCTAACCATATCGCTATTGGGACGGCTGAAGTGTATGAATACCTCCATTAGATAAATTTGACACTAGATGGCTCTGCCATCTGTGTTGAGAGTGTAGAATGCGTAAGCTGTAGAATCGGAATCTTGACAGATTTTAAAAATCCGCACAGTATATTGATATAAGTGCATGTGGCCTATTTTTCCGGCGGGTTTGTCTGTTTTTAATCACCAACTAGATTGCTAACCTCTAAAGAATTGATATCTCATGGTATTATAAAATAATGCAATGTTTTATTTGAGCTAGTATGAAGGCTATCATGAATAGACACACATTCTAGAGGCCTTTAACAACAATTTGTTATAGTTTATAGTTGGAATTAACTTGAATTCACGTGTCACGTAAGTATGTTTTTCTATGTACGTGCTTTATATTTCACTAAAGCGCCTCGTGCAATTAGCTACTAGAGTAACGTTTTTGAGAAGCCACCACTAGATGGCGTCGTATGGTAAGCACTCTGTAGCTCCTTGCTCTGTACAAGGCATCAGCCCAGGATATGCTATTATGTACGTGCCTACCAACTATAGCTACATAGAGGGAAGATAACAGTAAGCATACGACTTCAGTGAATCCTTGAACAATGTTTATGCATCATCGTTAACCTTCATAACCATTGATAACTTGCCATGCTATTAGCCAACTAGCGTACCTATGATAAATGATAACATTCGTGATAACAGTTTTAACAGTATTTTAATTAGGTACTTGCAATTAGGCACAATGCCAAGTGCAAGTGAGCGAGAGAGAGCGGGAGAAAGAACGAAGGAAAAAAAGAGAGAAAGATAGATAGAGAGAGGGGGAGGAGGAGGAGGAGGAGGAGGAGGATAAGTAGGAGGGCGAGTAAAAAAGAGAGAAGGGGAGGAGTGAGACGGCAGTCATTTAGTAATGGCATTTACGTATCTCATCTCGCTTCAAAGCAAATTTACTTGACGCATCTGCGCGGTTTTATACACGTAGACAAGCATTTATCGCTCGTGACGTGTAAGGATAAACCATTGGTGAAGAATAGAATTAATGAATAGAAAAGTCCATGATTTAAATGATCAAAAATCAATGATCCTAAACTCCCTATGAATCCTAATAGTCACGTGATCACGGTGGCGACATCGCAACACGCCCTTAGCTATAAGCAATTAAAAAAATTAGCACTGGTTATAATTATCGTCACTAAGTTGGATTATTATGAAATGCAGAGATTTTTGGAATGCATTTTTGATGTCAGTTCGACAGAGCGGGATCATCTGTGGTTCATTAATCTGCTCCGAACTACAGCCGAAAAAGTTATGCCACTATATAATATTAACGTATTTCGTTTACAGAATAAAAGTAAGCAAACGTACGTGTGGTGCTTGCACAGTGAGTCATTCCTTGCGAATTAAAGCAAGAATGCTTTAATGAGCTCTCGCTCGCAAAGGGTAGGCGATGAACCAATTATGATTATATCGCTCCGCCGATCAACCCTCGGGATGTTAGAGAATAATTGAATCCTTAGCATGGCTTCATAGTAAAAACGCACCTGAGCGTAAGATATATTTGCCACAGCGTCATCGAGCTACTGGGTGTGATCAGCTGGTAGACTGCAAGCATCTGCGACCATCTGTCGCTACAGTGAAGAAAGTTTTCTTACTGTATGTCGCCGTTGGGTAGCGTATATTTAGCATATAACCGCTGTAGTTTATTTTACGTGGTATTCTTAAAACAAGATACTTATATTCTAATAAGTTATAATTATTATTATAGCGTATAGTTATTTATACAGGGCGAACGAATAGCATAAATTTCACTCAAAAATCGGTTGACTTCATTTGCGAAGCATACATTGCTTCAGAAAATAGCAAAAATCAACAAAAATTACACGCGTATGGTGCGCTAACTGCTTCGTAAAGGATGGCATGCTACGGAAAGTTGTAATTCTCTAACGTGCAGCCACTCGAACCAGTGTGACAGTACTTTTCTTTTCGGTTCTGTATAAGACTGTGTGTGTGTGTGTGTGTGTGTGTGTGTGTGTGTGTGTGTGTGCGTGCGTGTGTGTGTGTGCGTGTGTGTGTGCGTGCGTGCGTGCGTGTGTGCGTGCGTGTGCGTGTGTGTGTGTATGTGTGTGTCTATGTCAGATAATGCAAGCAGGGAATGCCAGAAACTAATCATGTTTAGTCGAAGTGCCGTCCGCTTGTAGCTTGCGGTTACATGTAACAACTTTTTTTTCACGAAAGAAGATCTTCAGGAGTAAGATAACACTTTTGCTGAACTGAAGAACTGTATAGTAATAATAATAATAATAATACCTTGTTATCTCACCCCTGCCAATATTATTCCACTGTATCCGATAATATGTCTTACTTTTTAACACGGTAAAATATA